CTATAATCCAGAGGAGCAGAACTGAGGCTCTGCATGTAGGAAACACAAAGGGGTCTGTGGACATGATTCAAAGCCAATAGTCCACTCTCTGGCCAGATGTATTTACATGCCCTCCATCATACAGCATCATGACTCCTCCCAGACACCACTCCATTTGATGCCTACCAGCTCAAGCCAGTGCCGCAGGACCTTGTCATGTGCCTTGGCCTCAGGGGCAGAAGTGGCTCCTTAGAAAAAGCAGCTACTTCTGGTCCTCACTACCCAAGGGGCTGTGACTGGGCTGTTTCACACACCCAGTGTGCACTGAGGACAGGGGCATGATGAAAGCTACTGTAGTCTTTTGTTTTTTTCCAAAAAGGAAGGAGGGAGGTACTGTGAGATCGCTCAGTGGTTAAAGGTACCTACCAGAAAGCTTAATGGCCCGAGTTTGATCCCTGGACCCACGTAGTGAATGAAGAAAACTGACTTCTGCAAGTCGACATCTGACTTTCACACACAAGCAACTCCCATATAAATCAATGCCATTTTCAATCATACATTAGCCTTTACTACCTTTATTTTTATGTGTGTGTGTGCCTGCATGTACCCCATGTGCCGGCAATGCTTACACAGGCCAGAAAAGCGTGTTGTATCTCTTGGAGCTGGAGTTAGAGGCTGAAGCGGTTTGAATGACTATGTCGTCTATAGGCTCAGATAGTTGAACACCGAGTCTCCAGTTGGTGGCGCTATTTGGGGAGGTAGTTCAGGCTTGCTGGAGGAAGTCTGTCTTTGGGGGTGGGATTTGAGAGTTCACAGCCCCACTCCACTTCCACTCTCTGCATGTGGATGGAGATGTGATCTCTCATCTTTCTGTTTCTGCTATCATGCCTGACGTTTGCTGCTATTCTGCCCACCGTAATGGACTCCTATCCTTCTGGATCTGTAAGCCAGCCCTTTCTTCCATACATTGCTTGTGGCCATGGTGTTTTATCACAGTGATAAAAAAGTAACTGATACAAAAGTAGTTGTGAGCTGCCCCTGTGGATGCTGGGAACTGAATTCAGGTCCTCTGCAAGAGCACATTAGCATGGACACAACAGACCACAGGGCCTAAAAACAAAGGGGACCAGAAATGGGTCCATATAGAAAAATAGAGACTTTTAATGAAGATGTCAAATCAGTACCATAGGGAAAATACCATCACAACAAATTGTCTGGAACAAGCTCGAGTGCCATAGGGAGAGACACAAACCATAACCCTTACTGTCACACAGTACACAATTAACATCAGCTGTATCATAGACCTGACTGTAAGAGCTACAGAGAAAGTCCTGTGACTGTATATTAGGTAAGAATTGCTTAGGACAAAAAGGCAGGAAGACAGGAAAAGAACACACTAATAAATTGACATTAAAATAGAACATTTTCGAGGCTAGCCATAGACTAGCTTTTATAAATCACCTAATAAAAGATTTGTGTAAACCTCCCCCAACAAAACTCAGTAAGAAATATGAGCCAATCACCCCAATGACCAGACAGAAGGTTAACCAAACTCCCTGCTACCCCACCCCAACCCCGCCCCTAGCAGGTTCTGGGTCAAAGTAGTCCTATCAGGGTGGAGCCGGCTGGGAGGACCAAACAGACTGGGAGTAAAGTGGGGGAAACTCTGGTGAAGGTCAGTGTTAGAAACGGTATTGATGTGGGAGGCACAAAATCAGGAAAAGCCAATGTGGTTGTCATCAGCCCAAGGACAAGAGACTCAGAATCTAGACAAGGAATCTAGAGGTCTGAGGAATGAGACCAACAGAGAGGAAGGGAACTGCATGCACATGACCCAGCAATTCTACTCTTCAGTACCTACTGGAAACCAATGTCATAGACTTGAGGGTAGATGTTCAAAGCAGTATTCTTCAGAGTGGCCATCCACAAAATAGAAACAATTACAGATTTCTACCAACTAGCAGACAGATGAAATGTGGCATAGCCACACACATTATATTTGTCACTAAATTAAGAATGACTAATATGCACTAAGCATGGGTGAATGTTAAGGTGCAAAACATCAAATGCAAGAGCATATTGGAGTCCACTGACATGGGCTAGATAACCTAAAATGCAGATCTACAGAGAGTATGAAGGGTCCTCTGGCTGGGGAAGAGTACATGGGAATGATTGATAAAGTGTTGGGGTTTTTTGTTGTTGTTGTTTTTTGTTTTTAAGAAAGGACCTCATGCATCACAGGCTTCAAACCCAAAATGTAGTATGTAGCTGAGACTGGCCCTGAACTCCTGACTTCCCTGCCTCCACTTCTTGAATGTCGGATTACAGGCATGTATCAATAAGGTGTGGTACTGGTGGGAAGTGAAACACAATGTCACTTCGTGACACTTTGGCAACATCTCATGACGGAAATACCACATAACTCAGCAATTTTACCACCAATATTTATTGAAGAAAAATGAAGTTATATGTCCACACACATTGTATATAAATGTTCACAACCATTTATTCATAACAACCCAAACTAAAAACAGCTGAGGTCCACACCAATAGGATAACAGCATCTTCATGTAACAGAACACTACTCTGAAGAAAACTGACTCAAGTAACATGTGTGCTTTTCACAGAGCCACGCTGAGTGAAACCACACACAAATAAAAGCCATACTGATTTCCCCTAATCCACAGCAACACAAAGCAGACAGCAGTGGCTGGGGCTGAGGGTAGATGGCTGGGAACCTACTCAAGGGACACGAGGTAACTTTGAGGATGATGGAAGTGTTCTCTATTTTGGTTGTGGAGAAAAGCCACGCAGGTGCATTTCTGTCCAATTCCTTAGGTGCTGTTTCCCCTTGGTGTTTCTGTTATATGTAAATTTTAACTCAGGAGAGCTGCTCTGAAAAAGAAATAGCTTGATTAGAACACACCATTGCCCTTGCTGAGGAAACAGCCGAGTTTGCCTGGTATCCGCGTGCTCACTGGCTCTCAGCAGCACATCAGTTTCGTAGAATGTGAGACCGCTATCCTGTGCAACTATCCTCTCTTACTCCTTTTAAGACCTGACGACACACGCCTACTCAAGAAGTGTTTGAAATCTGTTGCTGAGATAGTCTAGTCGTATACTGTTAGCAGGTCTGGCATTTACTATGAAGCCTAGGTTAGCCTCAGCAACCTAGCAACCCTCCTGTCTTAGATTCTTGAGTGTTGAAATTACAGGCATGTGCCGTTTATTCTTATGGTTGTTATACTGTATGTGAATCCCAATCTTTTGTTACGAACAGCAATCATCCACTCCCTATCTGTCCCCTATCAGCATAGCTTCACACACTCCTCCGCAAGATGAGAACTGAAGGTCTATCTGTGAGTGGAACAGACTGGGACAGCTCTTGTCTCACTGGAATGCAGCACTTTTTAGGGTACAGGGTCTTGTGTAACCCAAGCTGATCTCTGGCTATGCAGAAAGGGTGACCGTGAACGACTGATCCTTCTGCCTCCACTCCTAAGTGCTGGGATTAGAGGCGTGTGCTACTAGGCCAGCTAGTGACACTATTTTTAGCTGCTATGGTCCTTGTTCCTGGGATTTTTTGTGTTCTGGGTGCTTCTGGGAAGTTGGACTCACTAGAGTCATTGTTTCAGGACGAAGATAGAGATGTCAGTGCTCAGTCAAAGCTGAGTTTATTAAATGTGAAGAAGACAAAAGCCTGGAAGCAAAAGGACTTTTGCTTTGTCTGAGTGCCAAGCTCTGGGGGAAAAAGGGTTTTGAGGAATCTATTAGAGTAGGCTGTGCAGAATCAGTGTTGGAGCCTTGGCGAGTCAGAGTTGATTCCTTAACCAAAGAGGGGAAGGATTTATAACTTCACCAAGAGCAGTTTTCTCAATATTCAACAAGAGAAGTTGGACCTAACAGGAAGAGCAGTAGAAGAGATGTTGAGAGCCGGGCTGCACAGGTCTGAGGTCTCTTGGATACCCCACAGAACCATACTGCCAAGATTGGCCCAGAGCCCACAGATTTAAAGAGCGGCTCCTGCATTCCCTCTTGCCTCTTGAGTTAATCTGATGCTTGGCCAAGTTTTGAGAAATTACCGACTCACAGGAACCAAGAGGCACAGTGTTTAATATGCCTTTTCTCAGGGAACAGTTCAACTTGACAAACTAGAGCTCAACACTAGTTTGACAAACAAACTCAGCACGACACTAGAGCACAAGACCCCTTACTTAGCAAGTTGGGCAGTGGCTTCAGTAACATTTAGACTTCCACTGCCTCTAGACTGCTCCCCACACGAGATTGTGAAGTCTGTTTTGCAAATGAGTATTTTATGGGTAAGCCTAACAGCAGCACCAAGCATGAACATGGTAGAGAGTTAACTACAAGTAGATGGTCAGGTAGAACTCGAGAGGTGATGCATCGGAAAGGGGTTCATCAACAACTCTGCTTATCAGACCTCACAAACCCTTCAGCTCCTGTGCAGGAGACCAGCTAATCAAAGTCTGCATATAACCACCAAAAGCTACAGCCACAATGATGGCCAGAGTTGTCCATGAATGCATATGAAGACCTTAATTTTGCAAATGATTTTCCAGTTCTTTTGTCCAAACAAGTTGGCACTATTCCCGTCTAGTCCCAATACAGAGCAAGCAAGAGCTGCTTACATGCAGTTGTTCAACCAGACCAACTCCAAATGAGGTCAGGGTCTTAACAAAGACTTCAGAAATATCCAGGCACAAAAAGTCAGAGAGAAAACATTCCCAAGGTAGAGATGCCCGAACCTGTGCCTTCCAGGACAATAGCTACTGGTCGCTTAACTGCTGAGCACTGAAAACAGGGTTGGTTCCAAATAGATCCCAAAGATGAAAGGAAAAAAAAAAAAAAAAAAAAAAAAAAAAAACCTAGTTATCTATCAGTAGGGGACTTATCAAATTGATTACATGGTAAGGTGGATCTGCATATCTGAACAGTCTAGGGCAGTTTATGGTTTGTGTTCTAACAGGACCTGAATATCTGGGTGGTGAATAACCTTAGACTTCTTTTTTTTTTTTTTTTTGAGACAGTTTCACTATGTATCCCTGGCTGGCCTGGACCTGGCGATATAGACCAGGCTTGCTGTGGGATGGTCTGTATGTCAAATTTGTTGCTGATTGGTCAATAAATAAATCACTGATTGGCCAGTGGCCAGGCAGGAAGTATAGGTGGGACTAGGAGGAGAATAAAGCTGGGAAGTGGAAGGCTGAGTCAGAGAGACACTGCCAGTCGCCAAGATGACAAACAGCATGTGAAGATGCCGGTAAGCCACGAGCCACGTGGCAAGGTATAGATTTATAGAAATGGATTAATTTAAGCTGTAAGAACAGTTAGCAAGAAGCCTGCCACGGCCATACAGTTTGTAAGCAATATAAGTCTCTGTGTTTACTTGGTCGGGTCTGAGGGGCTGTGGGACTGGCAGGTGAGAGAGATTTGTCCTGACTGTGGGCCAGGCAGGAAACTGCCTCCTGAGTGCTGAGACTGAAGGTGTGTGCCACCACACCTGACCTAACACTAAACATCTCAGGCATTACAGAGCTACCAAAGGCTCATGATACACAGTTCTTTGATATTTTCCTGAAGTTGTTTTACACTAAGGCCAACACTATGCAGCTACTGTTCAGTTAATGTCCTGGTCACTCGGCTCCTAAAGGACCAAATAAATTAGAAATATTAAAAACTCAAATTTATTTTACTGGGAAGGTATTTTTTTGGTTATATTCTATCTGAATCCCACAAAATAGTGAAATCAAGAGCTCACAGAAAATATTATTAGGAGTCTGACAAAATTTTAAGTTCTATATTAAGTACTGAAGACATTTTTTTTTTTTAAAAAAAAAAGCATTTTATGTGAAATATATAAACCTAGGGTCCTTTGCCATCTTGGGATATATATCTCAGGGTTAAGTTTCTACTGTTTTCACAGGTCATTCTGGAGCAATCTGTTGTGTTGCCAGGGATGTGCTATTAGACTAGGTCATCAGGAGGTCTCCTTGACCCATACAGCTACCCTGAGGTTGCTGCTCCTCCCAGAAAGCCTTTCTGTCCTTTGCTCAACAGCAAAGATCATGCAGCAGCACCTGTAGCCTTCTGGTCCTTCTCCAGAGCAGAACCTAAGCTTTTTTGAAGAGCAATGTCACTAGGACCACAGGCTCACATGGATGTGGACGAGAACCCAAACCAAGCAGTCCCTTTACTTTCTGTTGTCAAGATTTGAAGTCAGGCACAATGGAAGGGGCATGGAAAATGAACCCAAGACAAAACTCTCAAGTGTTTCAAGGTACAGGTTGGCACTCACTAAGCAAGGGCCACAGCAACAGAAGCTAAAGCAATGGGGCTTCAAGAGAAGTCCAACTCAGCCAAGCTGGAGTGTTAAGTAACTCTGTGTTCCTCACTCTCTAGCTAGCAGTTAGTGCTGCCGATATTTGCAGCCCTAAGGCATTATGACCCTGAAGCAACTGCCATGTATTCATGTCTGCCTTTGTTCTCAACCCTCTATCCGACCCCCACCTCAATTCATTTTCAAATGGAAGGTCCTTATTTCTGGTTCTTTAGGACATTCCTGGCATAATCAGATTTTCCCAGGCAGTCAACCTTTCAAGATAGACAGAAAGGACAATGAGTTGTCCCAGGAGCTCTCTATCCCTTTCTACTGTTGCTAGCTTGCCTTCCTAGACAGAGTGAAGGCTGACTTTGTCTACTGTCCATATCCCTTTACCCATACTCTCCAGAGCTATGAATCATCTACCTATTCTTAAAGACCTACTCATGCTCCCATTTCTTCTGAGTCTATGTCTCTGAGTCATATTACATAGTAACATACCTGCTACAGCTTATTACTCTCTAGCATGCAATGGTAACTGAAATTAGGCTCCTAGAGGCCAGCTGTCTTTCATTACTATGTTCCTAGTTCCAAGACAGCATGAAATCAAAAGCTGCTCAATGAAAAGTTGCTCAAATAGCACTCTTGCTAACTGGTGAGAATGGAAATCAGAACCCACGATGCTCCGTTATTCCATGGCTTCTTTCAATACACCAGTTAAGATCTCAGATTTTTATCATCACACTTCATGGTAAACATATTAACAAAAATCATATAAATGGGTACAAATGTTTTTGTTTAATATAGCAACATTTATGTATACCACATATCTGACTTTGAATACACATACCTTCTTATTTAATACAAGAGCCCTGGTATCAGAAGACCAAGGCAAGGCACAGAATAAAATCCATGGCCAGAGATGCCTAAGACTAGGAGATTCAGCCCCAAAGCCTAGTTTCTTAATCACTTCACTACAGAACCCAATGGTGTTTATATCTTAAAAACTGCTTCCAAAAATAAAGGCAAGTTATGAAACAAATGAAGTCTACAAAGTGTGACTGCACACTCATAGGGTGTCCCTCCCAACAGTGTTCTAGCTGCATTTCAATGATAACATTAAAGGTTTATATCGGGTATTTCAAAGTACATCTTTACTTATTATAGTCATGGAAATACAAAAACACCTTTGTCCATTACGGTAAGCTAATGAGAAATTTTCACAATTTTGGATCTAGCTTTGTTATTATGGGTAAAAATAAAATAAAGAGGCCATAACATCAATTAAAGCATGCCAACTTTCCAGCATTCAAATATGTTTATTGTAATGCACTGTCAACTTAAAGACATAAGGTAGGACATGACAACTTCCTTTGAGAGTATTCTTATTTTCTACTTCTAAAGAACAGAGTTTAACAAGATCTTTTGGAATTTTTATTTATTAAAATATCAATGATGAATTGTTCTGTTTCTTTTTAGATCACACTAATAAAAGCTGTTCCTAATACATTTTCTCTGTTTCTTGTGATCAATGCTTCCAGGGCCTTATTTAACAACAACAACAACAAAATACTTTCTAATAGAGAAAATTAAGAGATATTCTAGAAGAGTTGTGGAAACCAGGAGCAAATCAATAGAGGTAAATATTGTGATTTTCAATCAAAGAAGTCCACATAGCAAGTCATCTGCAAAAAAATGCAATGAACTGTTGCTCAGTGCCACTAAGTCCCATGTTCCTATTGTTTCTCCTAGACCAGTCTCCTAACTATACTATGTACACCCAAACACTCTAACAAGATGACAACCAAACTCTGAGACAAGCTCTCATTTTGCAGTTCAGGCTGGTCTCAAACTCACTGTGTAGCCCAAGCTGGCTTCAGACGTGTGACCCTCTGCCTCTGCCTCAACCCCTTGGGTGCTGGGATTCCAGATGTGCACGTCCTTGGCTAATGAAGGAAACATTTCTGGTGCCACAATTACTGCTGACAAAAGGCAGGCAGTTATGAAGTTTCCCAAATAAATGATTGGTACATGTCAACTCCAACATACTAAATCAGAAATGTCTCCTCAGTGACAGGAGAATGTCACTTCCGTCCAATTTTGAGATGGTAAGGCCATAGGGGCAGAGCTAAGAAACACACCACGTTAATAAATGCTACAGTATCACATTCTTCATTTTTTTTTTTTTTTTTTTGGTGGGGATGTTAGTTCATGTCAACTGCTCTTTGCTTCTCCATAAACAAAGAGACCAAAACAAAACAAAACAAAACAACAACAAACTACCTTATTTTCAGCCACTGGTCAAAAAATGAAGAGTTTGAACATCCAATGACACACCTGTGAGGACATTGACTGTGCATATTAAACTAAATATTAACATTTCTGGTGTTCAAGGCCTTTTATTTCTCACAGAAAGTTAACAAACTTAGGTGATCAGGTATTTCCCATTTAAGACAGAACTCTAATTAAAAAATGCCATTTCCTAGCTTAAGCACCACATTTAGAGAATATGGTATAAAGTACTGGGTACAGTCTCACCAAAACTGTTTTCTTAATGATTTCAGAATGTGAATCACCACCAGGAGTACGCCACGCAGCAGCTAGTCAGACTCAGCAGCAGATGTGGGAGGAAGGAGCGGACAGTGAAACAGGGAACCACAGTCACACCACCGCTAAGAAAAGACCAAGTTACAGATTTCAGGAAAAATAGGAGAATGGGCTCCAAAGCACTGACATACTAGTCTTTTTAAGTCAAGTTAAAGTATCTGTACAGTGAGTAACAAGGGACATTTCACGTTTCATCTCTCACTGTCAGTGAATACCTAGTTTACACCAGGGTAAACCAAACCCACAGAAAATGGCCGAATGCACCAGAGCACCCACCACGAGCAAAGGTCATTGATGACAACAGCATCATTTGCCTCTAAGTCACTTTGTATGCTCTGGACGATCTGAGTTGGTTTAGATGGAAACCTCCTTTGTGAAGCATAAGGCTATCTGGGTCATATGGTCAATATAAAGTGCAGCTATAAGTCAGACCACAAGCACAACTACTCTTGAATTTTGAGTTACATGCTTTGCTCACCATTAGCTTACTGTTGGGGAAATCCCCTCACCTCACTCAAGTCAGTACAGAAAAGTAGGTCCTATTTACACTGAATTCATGATCCTTCTCACTGAGAGGAATATACATATGTCTTACTGTAACATACTAAAATGATTGCTTTTGTTTGTTTTTTTTGAGACAGGCTAGCCTAGAACAACCCAGGCCAGCCTGGACCTTGTGGCAATCCTCCTACCTCAGTTTCCTGAGGAGTGTGGGCAATGAGTGCTCTGAAACCTCACCGTACCCAGACTTAGAACCCAGTCTGAGATAAGGTCTGGAAAGGCTTGCCATCTCGGACAACTCATGAGGGTGGAAACAGCTTCACTGTATGTACTGCAGCTATGCTGAGGATCATCCTTGGTTATTCTGGGCTACATCCTAGTGTCTACATGGGTGAAAACCAGAGTAACTATGTAACATTTAAGAATGCAGAAGACTTGCACTGGAAAGCCCAGGCCTATACACTCCCACAGTCAACGTGAGTTGACCACTGTGGTTTCTGTTGTCACACACACCAAGTCAGTAAGAGACCACTGCTTATTTTAGTCACAGACATTCTTCTTAAAACAATCTTACAGTCTGGCTTATAACTAGGTTTGAAAAATCATTATGTCTATTTCTCTAGAAAGGAGTCAAAGAAAGAGAATTGGTTTTCTAAAGAGAATAGTGCTTCTCTTAAATATCCTAGTAAAGAGGAAATAAACAGCCAGATTAAAGTAGAATAAAAATTGGCAGAAAGTTCCCTATGGACAGAGCAGCATTAGAGAAATTCAAGCATGTACCTCCTTCTCAGCATACGCGTGACCTTATCTGAAGAGCATTTACGAAGATTCTAGAGGGTGATGACTGGCTGGATAAGTGAGGATCCCACTGTGATTCTGTCTCTATAGTAGTTACTGTCAGTAGTTTCAGCTGAATATTCAAATAGATAATATAATTTTATGATTGATGCTACTCAGTGTCTGCATACAGACTGATAAATATTATAAACAGTGTTATAAAGTATCAGTTATAGAACATTCCCAGAATAGTAACTTTGAACAGAAACTGAAACATCTGCTTTCTTCTATTTCTAAATTATTCTTTATAGGAAATCATTACAGACAGAATTTAAAGTAAAAATGCCAACTTTATAAAATCTGAGGGGGAAAAAAAAGTTGTTTTAATGGAGTTCAGTAAATACTGTCCAGACAGGCACAGCCTGCCGGTGTCCTGGACACAGCAGTACTGGCCTCTAACACCGCAGGAGCTTGGAGGCAGCAGCCACGGCAGAGAAGCCATCAAGAGTGCTGGAGGACATGTGAAGGAAGGCGAACTTAGGCTGAGACGTCCAAGAAGTTGAGCTTGGCACAAAGCAGGTCACCTTCCAGGGGAATATAAACATTCATTACCATAGCTGCTCTCCAAGAGAGAAGCCAGCGGAAGTAATTCTTACCACGACAATACACCAGTAGTAGAAAGCAAAGTGATTATTCACATTCTAAGAGCTCTTCCTTGGGGAAAATCAGAGGAGAGAGGAAAGTGTACAAACTGAAAGATAAAATAGGTTGAGATTTCATATAACAACAACAACAACAACAAAATTAAGGTAAGAAAATTTCACTTGAGGGAAAAGTAACTTCCTACACCTGGACAGAAAAAAAAAGCAGCTACAGAGCTGTGCTGGCAGCTGTCCCTCCCACTGAGGTTCTGGTGTCTGACCACTGTCCCCAACAGGTAGACCACAGTGTAACTGCAGGAAAGTAGTATCTAGCCTACAACCACAGGAAAACAATGCAAGTTCATTGCATGATCTGGACAAATCCCCCCCCCCCCCCTCTGCCTCCTGCCCTTTGCCCTTTTGAAAAAGAGGAAGCAGAAGCAATGGGGCTGGGACCAAGTGAGGGGAGAGCAGCAGCATCGGAGAAGCACATACTTCAACACCCCGACAGCTCAGCCGGAAGCAGGATTGTGCAGCCTGGACCAGACCAGGGAAACGACATTCTCCTGAGGAACCCAAACGTGAAACCTACTTAGTGATATTCTGATAGTATTTAAAAAAGACATACACTGTTGCAGTCCTCATAGCTAAACTTTCAGTATTCTTAACCATCAGATGTATTTTGGGGGAATATTTATTCACATAATTTTGCTTAATACAGTTCTTTCTACAAAGACTGAATTTAAAAGTATCCACAACATTTTCAATTACAGTAACAACACATTAATAAATTATAAATTAACAAAATCTTTATATTTGCTTAAAAATCATTTATCAAATGCTAACTTCCAGATTATCTGGAAAACTAAAGATGCAAGTTGCTAGAAATCTGGCATCCCAATTAAATTCTGATTTTTAAAAGTATATAAAATGTCCCTCAAATTACTACAAGTCCCACTGCAGACGCGTTTATTTCACCCTTTTCATAAGGTATTAAGTTTACAGCTCGCTAAACATTTCACCAAACATGGGAAACCTGCCTGGAAATGCAAAGCACAATGACATAGTTACATGAAAGGAAGAAAAGATCCCTGTCAGGACAGTCACTGCGGCCCCAGCACGAAGAAGACCTGCAAGTCTGGACTTTTCAAAGTTGCATAGCTGCAAGATGGTCACTGCTAACAAGCTATTGCGCAGTTTTATTTCAAAAGAAACAATGTATTTCAGAAACTGCAATTCAGTAGACACTTCTACATTTAATTAACTAAAATGTAATTATGTAACTTGATTTACTCTTTGGATGGCATTTTTATAATATTAAACCTTTAATTCAAACTACTAACATATTTTAGCTCTCCTACCCAGAAATCTATTTTTCACACATGGGGGAAAAAAATGGAAGAACTTAAGATTATACTCTCCATTCATAGAATATTATTCGGTTTTGATTACATTTCTTGGTTTCACATTGAGGAGTTTGTAAGAACTAAATTGGGTGGTTTTCAAGTTAAGAATAGGTGAATGTAGAAGCATTATGTTGGAGAAAATAAAAAGTCCCCAAACTAAAAACAAACAAACAAATAAAACAAATACAATAAAACAGCAGCTCTACAGAACTTAATAAAAAGTAAATCAACTTTGAAATTAGTTAACTTTGGCGTCTGAATACAAAATGTTTATCAGTATCATCTATGCAGTGACTAGTACAGGATGTGCAGCATTTTCAAAATCCCTGTGTGTCCCTTATATGCAAGTTTGGTACACTGAGTTCTGTGGTTCCTGTCCATCTCTGGATTACCGAGTGTCACAGAACTCAGTTCCTGGCTGAGTAAGCCTGCAGTTTTCATTTTTTTTTTTCCAGAGACAGATCTTCAAATCTTCTAGATTTCTCAAGCATCTTGAAAAGACAAGAAAACCTGCATAAAAATAAATTATTCTAAGTCATGATCAATCATAGTAATGCAAACAGAAATACAACACCCACTTCCCCATGAAGAGTGCTTTATTACTGTAGCCTTTTATACCACCCTTTTTACTTCAGAAATTTACAAAATTATTATTCTGTAGAACAAATTAAGAAACAGCATGACAATAAAAGCTTAACATAGTATAAAAAAATCAGCAAAAACTTAAGTCATTCCTTTTCCACAGTAAGTGCTTAAGTACACACATGAACACATATACATACACCCTCTCAAACTTAAAATCATCTCCCCAAATAAAAGCAGTAAGCAACTTCATAATTAATCAAGACTGTGCATATTCATGTCTCTATTTTGGGTTGGTAACTATTAAATTCTTATGCTACAGATATAATGCAAGGCCTTGCTACTTAAAAAGACTCCTTAAAGCTTTTGGAAACAGACTCCATTGGTTTGGATTTCTGCAGGCAGATATGTAGAAAGATCAACTTATCCCATGTAAGTTTGTCTCAAAGCACAGGTGCCATGTGCAGAAACACTCCTAACGAGGAAGGACTAAGATGTTAAGAAAACAAATGTTGTCTGAGCTTAAAAAGATGTGCTGGTGACTATGAGATAGGATGTGTTCCAAAATCCCATGAGCTCACTGTAACATCAAAAGAAAAAAGTTCAGTGATGAGACCATGAAAGAAAAAACTGTTTCTGCTGTGATCTTGGTGTTTGCTAATCTCCATCACAGCAGCATCAGAGCCTTTCCTGGCCAATGACCTCTCTTCTGTCATCCAAGGACATCTGAGGAATGATCATCGAAGACATTGTCTCTGGCACCTTGATCTGGACTTTCCAATGTGCAAAACTCTGAGCAAAGATTTTGCTCATCATCAGCCACCTCAGGTACTTTGTTAGGCTATCTTGACTGCACTAGTACAGACTAAAAGGAGCATATTTATATGCAGGTTAAAGATTTAGGGATAGATTTTGGCATGTGAAACACTAAATTAAAAATTCCCCCCTTTTTGTGTAGGTCAGGCTGACCCAGAACTTCTGCCACCATGCCCAGCAAAACCTTCATTTTATTAGCACTACTTTTTAGTATTTCTTTTAAAATGTTTCAGTAATTTCCCCTAACTGTGTTGACCCAGACACAGGACAACACTTGACAGTATGGCAAAGCATCCTCGCCATCAGAAAATGTTTTCAGGTTGGGGATACAGCTCAGTGGCAGGGCATCACCTAGCCAGAACAGAACTTGAAGTTCAAGTTCTGAAACAACAACAGGAAACTTTACTGGGGCTGTGGATGTACCCCAGTGTAAACTGCTGGTATGTACAAGATCATGGGTTTGATTTCCAACATCATAAAACAAAACCAATAAAGATCTCTACCTTTCTAATAGTAAACTAAAAACACTGATGCACACACATGTGCCCTGATACAACCTCACTACATCCCACTGCTCTGCACCAGAACGCCTGCTATCCCATTTGTACTTAGGGTCTTTCAGCACCCCAGTCTCCTAGGGCCTTTGCTTTCTCATGTACCCTGCTGTAGTTCTCACTGCTGAATCTGTTACCCTTAAGTTACCCTCATCAATGCTGCAACCACATTTCTTGAGTACATCACCTCAATACCTAGACTTCTAAGCTAAAGAGCAAGAGATACTAATTACATCATTTATTTATTGTCTGTGGAGGCGGGGCCCATGTGTGGAGGTCAGAGAGCAACCTATGGGAATTGATTCTCTCCTACTATGCGGGTCCCAGGGATAGAACACGGGTTATCAGGCTTGGTGACAGGCACCGTTACCCATTGTTCTAGTTAGGGTTATCATTGCTGTGATGAAATACCATGATCAAAAGCAAGTTGAGGGAGAAATAGTTTTTTGGCTTACACTTCCACATCACTGTTCATCATCAAAGGAAGTCAGGACAGGAACTCAAACAGGGCAGGAACCTGGAGGCAGGAGCTAATGCAGAGGCCATAGAAGGGTGCTTTCTTATAGAACTAGGACTACCAGCACAGGGATGGCTCCACCCTCAATGGGCTGGACCCTCTCACATCAATCACTAGTTAAGAAAGAGCCCTACCGGCTTGCCTATAGCCTGATCTTCTGGAGGCATTTTCTCCCTCTTTTCTGCTGGCCCTAGCTTGTGTCAAGCTGACATAAAATTAGCCAGCACATACACCAAGCACCTAGAGATTATTCAAGGATGGCAGAGAACAAGACCCCAGAACAACACTCCCAACTTCTAGTCACAGTTGCTCACTAAGTCTACAGCTGGCTAGTCTTCTCACCTTCATCATGAGTCTTTCAGTTCTCTGAAGCATTGCAAGATTAGCTAAATGCTTCATACTTAAAGATGGCAACTAAGTTAACCTCATTTTTTTCAATGCTAAATGACGCCTTACATTAATTTACCTTATGGGACATATATTAAAGAAAAATATAGTCACGGTTTACCTTTAATTCACTAAGCATTTTCAAATAAACTACCTCTGCAGAATAAAACCACTCTCCATTTAGTACTGCAAGGTGATACATGTATGAGCTGGGTGCAAACTGGCACCACAAACCACGTGTCCTCCACGTCACCTTTCCCATGGCTCTAACTTCCTTATCTGAGTACTGAGCAGCTTACTCTCACTTCAAGCACATAGCAGACAGGAAATGACTCCAGCACATCAGACTTGTGAATGACTGGAATTGTATTACCTGAGAAAACACCTGGGGCAATGCTTAAGCATGTAGATTAAATTCTGTGCAATCTGGACTTGAAGTAAATGACATGCAAAAAAAGCTGTGCATATGCAATATAAATACTCTGAGGAGTATGGTACAACTTGCTTTTTACAATCATGGGACTTAACCTCTCTCTCTGACCCTTAAAGAATTCTTCCTAGAAGATGTGGTCATGATTTGTACCTCACTGTTTGTTTGTTTCCTCCCAGTAGTAAACTGTAATTAAATAAACAAGTATGTTTTTTAAGTAGCAAGGGTATTGTAGTTATTCAATACCTAACTCTATTCAAGAATCAAGAACAGTTACTTTTCTTTTTTTTTTTTTTTTTGGTTTTTCGAGACAGGGTTTCTCTGTGTAGCTTTGCGCCTTTCCTGGAACTCACTTTGGAGACCAGGCTGGCCTCGAACTCACAGAGATCCGCCTGGCTCTGCCTCCCGAGTGCTGGGATTAAAGGCGTGCGCCACCACCGCCCGGCTAAGAACAGTTACTTTTCATGTATTTGTTTTGCTGTTGTTTTGGGAGTGGTTTTGGTGCTTGTGACAGTTAAGTCTGTGTTCTAACCCTGAACAAGACTCTTAGCCTCCTTAGTATAGCTTTAAATGTGAGTTTTTATATAGTAGTCTTGCAAAATACCTAGGAAACATATACAGACATGCACACAGAAACGTGCCTCAGTGAGTAAATGGATGGATAACAATGAAAGCTGAGGTAGCTTGAGAGGTAGCTCAGCAGCAAAGGTGATTGCTTCAGAAACAAGTTCAATTACTGGGGCCTCCATGGTCGAAGGCCAGAACTAATTCCTCAGGCAGGTTGTCCTCTGACCTCCACACACACGCCAAGGCTTGTACATGATCACATGCAGTAGCAAGTGCAGACACACACACACACACACACACACTAAAAAAGGTGAAAAAAACTGAAGATGAAATAGTAATTCAAAATAATAGTTTATAAATCAATTAAAACAAAAAAAGGGACAATTACCCATAACACAGGAATCTGATGCTTAATCTGAAGGGTGCTCTGGACAAGATCTATTTACTTCAAACCATTCATCTATGCAGCTAGAAAAGAACAAAACCAGAAAAGTATAAATCCTATGTATAATGAGATCCCAACAGTCATAATAAAAACATCTACTACTTGACTTTTAGTGTCTTTGGAAAACAATCAGTATTTTTAATGATCACACCTGACAAATACAGTAAAGGATGTTAATTATATTTCAGTTATTTTACATTATTAAGGGGGGAAATCCTCGAACAATTATGCTATGACATACTTTCAAATTTAAAAAGAGTAACTATTACCTTAAAGAACTACCATTTCATTAATATTCAAAAGTTAGAAAAAAACATTTCCTTTTCAAAATAGTTACACACAGGCCTGTTTAGCTTGTCTAGCAATGTAATAAAAAGCTTTAAAATTTTAATTCTTGACAATAATGCTTAACATTTAAAATTTCGTGTTTATATGTAATTATTGACCCTTTAATTCACCCTGCTCTGCAATCCATATATACACAGACAAAGATACCCTGATCTATTTACATTTATAGAGCATTCATGGTCTTACTGGAAATTATGTACAGGGTACATATATTTATTCTCTTTCTTTGGGTTTGTGTATGTATATGTATGTGCATGCCTATATATGTATTTGTGCATACATGTGGAAGCCACACACAACCTAGGAGGTCATTCCTCAAGTGCTTCTCACCTTTTTTGTTAAAACCAAACAAAACAGGGCTTGTCAGTAGCCCAGAATTATCTAAGTAGGTTCGTGAGGCTAGCTGTCCAGTGAGTCCCAGGGATGCACCCACCTCCACCTCCTCAAGCATTGAGATTGCAATGGCTTGTCACCACAGCAGCTTTTCTGTGTGTGTTCCAAGGACTGAACTCAGGTCCTCATTCTTACAAGAGAAGCATTTTAGTGAGCTATCTTCGCAGCTCATAATTATTCCTAACATAGATTAGCAATGTCCAATGCAGTAGTTATTTAAATTCATTAGCTTAATTAACAACAGAGTCCAGTTTCTCAGCCCCATTTCAAGTGCTCTCAGTAGTGACGTGTAATGGCTGCTCCACTGTTGGACAGATGTAACACATTTCCCTCATTGTACAAAAAAACCCAATTGTACACATTGTTCCTTCATTTTCTCAAATTCACAGAGCTGTGGCAAACGATAACATCAATGTCTTCAAAGGACAAGTAACTTGGGCAGCAGCCTATGAGTACTAAAGCAGGATTCAAACTTCTCAGAGTTCTCATTGGGGGCACATGTTAATTTCTGTATGCTCATATAGCCAGGTGAGCTAGTATCCTGACAGGGCAAATGAAAAGATGTTATTGGTAGTTCTATAGGTGAAAATAGAAAAAAAAGGTAAACTATCTCAATATCATGTCTTCCAAGTGACTGAAAAAAGCAACTCCTGCTACCACTGCAATATTTACTCTAAATATCATACCCTAATTTGTTTACATGTTTTTAGTCTGGTCTCTACCACTGCACCCTAAAAAACTCATCTACAAAGATACATCTCAAAACAAAATGTACAGCTGTAGTTACACTCACAGTACATTTGAATACTACTTACGCAGTCTAAAATGGGTTCTTACTTTATATCCATGTCATCTAGGCTCATCATGAGAAGGCCAATAACTCACTCCAGATCCCATCTCATCAAACTAGTATCAACTCACATAGTTTCTATTGTAAACTATCTCACTGGTTGTTAAGACTGTGATAGCCCTTTCTCTTAGCAGCTCCAACAGGAAATCAGTATTCTGAATTTTATTCTCAGGCATTTTCTTACCGCATAACTATAGAGGCATGTATTCTAAACACACACAGTATTGCCCCATGTCTAAAAATCTAAATTAGTGTCACCACAAATATTATGCCTTATTTGCCTTCTTTGTAAGTGCTTTTAAATTTGTATTCCATTATGTATGTATAGCACACGGACTTGATGCCACAAGCCTATAATCCGAGCTGCTTGGGTTACTGAGGCAGGCAGGAAGATTATAGGTTTAAGGCCAGCCTAGAAAACTTGATGAGATCCTGTTTCAAAATAAATAATGACAAAAAGTATATCACAATTTTCTGATTTGTTCTTTTACTATAGATATTCCCAATTATCTATGAACAGTCTCTGAAAGGTCACACAAATTATAAATTAATCTTGTCACTAATTACAGTTTGAACTGGCATTTTAGAGAGTCACAGTAAGGCTTTCTCACATCCTGGTTTAGATGCTTTCTTTCCTCCTGGTCTTAATTTTGGGCAGTGGCTGCTCTCTAGACTTCTTCTGCAGCACAAACTTGAGAACAGAATGACTGACTTAGAGCATATACATTGTAACTAGAGCTGCTTAGCAACCACATCAATCCTCTTTACTGAACTACATTTTCAAAAATCTTTTATCATAAGTTATATGTAGGGTGTGGGGTGTGTGTGTGTGTGTGTGTGTGTGTGTGTGTGTGAGAGAGAGAGAGAGAGAGAGAGAGAGAGAGAGAGAGAGAGAGATTGATTTGGTGATTATGTGCTGGCAAGAGCCCACAGGAGTAAGTTCTTTCTTTCTACCTAACGGTGCTGGAGATCACACTCAGGCTGTCAGACTTGGGGTGAGCACTTTGACCCACTGAACTACCTCACTAGTCACAATTTTTTCTTTGTATTTTTCAATGTTCTACAGTTTTTTTCTTACAGATTTTCAAGAAGCTACTATTATTCAGGTACCTCAGTTACAACATATATATTCGGGGTGGGGTCAGGCATCTGAAACAAGATCTTGCTATGTGGATCACAAATTAGACATCTTTCTGCTTCCACCTCCTAAATACTGGTGCTGTTTAATGCTTTTTTAATAACCCTTTCCACAAAAATATAAACTTAAAATAACAAGGTTTGATGGTAAAAAACAGATTAAAGGCAGACCACGCAACATAATTTGTTAACAGAACAATGACACGTTCATTTCTAATAAATACTGTACTTTTTGGAATGTTATGAGTTTATTGCCATATATAATTAAAAAGAATCCAGACTGATAGGCCATGAAGACAAAAGCCAATGCACATAAAACTGAGAACTCTGACTTGGGCTCCTTTGAAACACATAGCCTGAAGGGATACCTACAGGGCCATGGGGGATGAGTGCCCTTCAACACTGCATTACTGCATGGCTTGTTGTAGTTGTGTGTTCTCCTCTGCAGCTGTACAAAGCAGCACTTAGGGTGCGAGAAAAGGTATCACCTGGACCAGACTATTACCATGTCATTATGCTATCATGCTTCTATCTGCCAACTTGAGCATCATCTGCTACAGCAACTAACCAAAGGACTGTGTGTTATTTCATCACAAAACTTTTGTTGTCAAGGGCCATTTCCACTACAAAGTCTAGTTTCTACCTCAAATGTAAATATGCTACAATTTGTCAACAGTCAATGTTATCAGTCTTCTAAGTTTATCATTTAAATTTGTCTATGTGTATGTATGTGTGCCTAAATGTTTGTAGGGTACCATGTGTGTGCAACAGCCCTTGATAAGAGGGAGTTAAATCCTCTGGAACTGGAGTTACAGGAGGCTATGAGCCACGTGAATGCTGGGAACCGAGCTTAGATCCTCTTCATAAGAGCAGAACAGTATTCTTAGCTGCTGAGTCATCTTTGAGCACCCCTAAGCTTATTTGGGGGGCGGGGATGGAGAGGAAAAGGGTATATCTTAAGCAAAAAGAAATTCCTTACCAAAAGGTCAAAAACAATTCCTTATTTTTTTCCCTACTTCTTTAGATTTTTGAATTTCACAGGTATTACGGAGACAACCTAGAACTTTTATTTCAAATTTAAAAATGATTCAACTGTTTTCCATATCACTAACCAATTAACCCCAGCGCTACTCATCAAGAGCCTACTCTATGACACTGTAGCACCATCTGTAGTCAACAATCTTTTCACTTAATTTAGTGCCAACATTGCCCAAATTTTAACATTTAAATCCTCACAACCACATGAAGTTTGTACTATTGCCCTTATCTTAAACATTCAGAGACAAGAAAATTAAAGCCCATCTAAAATCACATAGTAAATTAATTAGTGGAAGGGTTGAGACCCTGATTGCAGGCTCCATGTCCTTAGGTCCCAGGCTGTGGTCTCTCCACTCAGGCTCACGTGTTTATGGACTCAGTTCTGTCCACAGTTGTTTAATTTCTGCATCTCTTAGGACATATGTCCCAAGAGGATTATTCTTCATGAGTATGGTCACTGCTCTTTAGCCCTTCACTTATTGGTCCATATATATATATATACATATTAGAAACACTGTGTCCGGTTACAAGAAACTAAGATTTGATGGGAGAGTGTTGTAGAATATCATTTTAAGGCGTGTTACATTTGTTTATGCAGTGGAACATTTGTTTTAATGATGTAAAGATGTGTTGCATTTTTTTTTTTTTTTTTTTTTTTTTGGTTTTTCGAGGCAGGGTTTCTCTGTGTAGCTTTGCGCCTTTCCTGGGACTCAGTTGGTAGCCCAGGCTGGCCTCAAACTCACAGAAATCCCCCTGGCTCTGCCTCCCGAGTGCTGGGATTAAAGGCGTGCGCCACCACCGCCCGGCGTGCTGCATTCTTTTATGTTGCACCTGTTTAACTCTGTGAAGCTGTGTTACTATGCCTCTCTAAAACACCTGACAGCCTAATAAAGAGCTAAGCGGCCAATAGGGAGGCAGGAGAAAGGATAGGCAGGGCTGGCAGGCAGAGAGAATAAATAGGAGAACTCTGGGAGGAGCAAAGAGAAAGAGCAAGAGAACAAGGAGAGGAGGACACCAGGGGCCAGCCACCCAGCCACCTAAGAGTAAAAGTAAGATTTATAGAAGTAAGAAAAGGAAAAAACTCAGAGGCAAAGGGTAGATGGGATAATTTATGTTAAGGAAAACTGTCAAGAAACAAGCCAAGCTAAGGCCTGGCGCATTTATAATTAAGAGTAAGCCTCTGTGTTTGATTTATTTGGGAGCTGGGTGGTGGACCCCACAAAAAAGCAAAAACACCAACAACAGGATAGCATTAACTATACAGGCTAATTAGGGTATAAATATTATTTTTATAATACTGCATTTTTCTATACATAATATGCTTTACATGTATATTAATCTTAGATACCTTATTTCAATAAGGTTTTAAATTTTTTTAAAAGAAAGTCTCAAACCTTTTCTAGAAATTATTTCTAATACATTATTGCTTTTGTAGCCCTTGTTATTTTTAATGTTACTATTTAAAGGAAAGTTCTTCATTTTTTTTTTCTTTGTGGGACATGAAAGCAACAATTTCCACACATATGTCACCTATCTGACAACCCAATAAACCCTCACTGATTTTAATAATTTTTATTCCCTATCATCCATCTCTATCTATCTACCCATCCATCCATGTGTGTGCATGGGTGTATGTATGTGAGCACCCTGCTGTGCATGTAGAGGTCAGAGAGCAGCATACAGGAATTGGCTCTCTCTTTCTGCCATGTGGGTCTGGGGGAATAAGCTTGAGTTGTCAGGCTTGGCAGCAAGTGCCTTTGCCTGTTGATCCCTCTCACTGGCCCCGTTCTAATAATTCACCTATTACTTAGCCTGACTTTTTGCTGTAAAGGTCATGAACACAGACAGACTTTTCCTTAAAGCTTCCTCATTTACTGAGTTAATGGTCTCATCTTATAGTATCTGTTCAGCCCCAGCATAAATCCAATTTGGTCCTGAGGTATAATTTCATTCATTCATTTATTTGCTTATTTATTCTGTGTATGTGTGTGTCACTAATAGTTGGCTCCAGAGAGCTTATCCCTAACATGAGACACTACTTTAGACTGGTATTGTTCAATCGGGATTTCTGCATTTTAAGTTTCCTTCACACTCAGTCCTTGTCTGGTGTCAAATAGCTGTTTTCCATTTTCTTCTCTGCATGCAGACCCACTGTCAAACCGTCTCTGAAGGCTGCTTTAGGGTTTGTTTGCTTTTCTTCAATCACTGTTTGCCATTTTTAAGATTTAGTCTTAACTTCTTAAAGCAGTCAGTAGTTGAGGTTTTGAATTTCTTTTTTAATCATTATTTATAAAATTACACATTTAAGGAAATTGTCCATTTGTTAAAATTCTAAATTCAAGAATATTAGCAGTGAGTTTTCCATTTACTTTTTTTTTTAAAAGATTTATTTATTTACTATATATACAGAAGAGGGTGCCAGATCTCATTACAGATGGTTGTGAGCCACCATGTGGGTGCTGGGAATTGAACTCAGGACCTTTGGAAGAGCAGTCGGTGCTCTTAACCTCTGAGCCATCTCTCCAGCCCCCCATTTATTCTTAATTTGTGTCAAATTATGTCCTTTTCTTTTCTAATTTTTCCTTCTGGAGACAATTCTGTTAACAGTTTTTCCCAGAATTATCTTCAACTTCAGTGCATTGTTTGCTAACTCTTAGCACCTACTCTGACATGAGTATAGAGATTACTCACTATAGGCGCACATCCAGACTGTTATCACTGTTCAGGTACAATTGTTTCCCACGTTCTTTGATGTACATGTTATTCAGAAGGCTATCTAAGAATGAGTTCTGCTGTCATTCCTGGTGGCTGATGATGGTCAGAGTTCTGTATGGTACCTATTGTAAAGGTCTGCTGAGGTATGCTTTATGGATTAAAACACAACTGATTTCTAGAATATTCTTTGTGTACTTGACAGGGAAATGTATGCACTCATTAGACTGAACCACAGGCTGGGGGTGCAGTTCAGTGGTAAAGAATGCAAGGCCCCAAAGTCTATCTCCAGTACCAAGAAATGAGTTGGGAACCAGGCACAGAAGCACAGCCAAAATGCCTGCTCTCAGGAGGCTGGGGGAGGAACAAGCTGAGGGCAGTCTAACTACATGGAGATTCTGAAACTATCCCGGATCATGCAGTTAAGAGTCTATCTGCAAAAACAAACAAAACCAAATCTTGGCAAGCTGAAACAACTCAATTTTTCTGGATCTTGACTCATTTATTTATTTAGTCAGGAAAATTTAAAACTTTTCCATTATTATGACATAGTTGTCAATTTCTTCTAACAGTTTACATGTTAACACAGATCATCAAGGAGAGTTTTCAGTATTTACCATTATGTAGAAACTCTTCTCTAAATAATGCTGCTTTGATGGTTTACTTTGTGTGACGTTGGTACACATTGTTAGTTTGGTTATTATTGCCTGGATATAGTTCTCTATCCTTTTAATTCCGTCCATACCCTTAACGCATGTTGTTTATCAATATCATTCTAATATTTCACCTACTTCCACTTTATTCTTATAGATAATAATTACTGGTATGTCTGTATTTTATTTTTGTCTCCTTATTTTGAATTATTTACTCTGCTTTATCTATGTTTTTGCTACCCCCTCTCACTCTTAAATAAAATTACACCTTATTCTTTTCCTTGGTTCAAATGCTACAGCTTCCTGTTCTTTTTTAAAATTTAAATGTATTTTATTATTATTTCTTTTAATTATGTGTATGTGTGTAGATATGTGCATTTGAGTGCCGGTACCCTCTGCGGCCAGACGTGTTGGCTCCCTCTGCCTATACCCTCCCCGAAAGCTGGAGTCACAGATGGTTGTGAACTGTCTGACATGGGTGCTGGGAACTGACCAGTATGTGCTCTTAACCCCTGAGCCAACTCTCCAGTCCCTAATTTTCTATTCTTTATGTGGCTACCTCAAATAGTGGTGGTTTTTGCAACAGGGTCTCTCTATTGGCCCAGAACTCACTATGTAAATCAGGTTGGCCTGTAACTCCCAGAGCGTCACCTGCTTCTGCCTCTTGAGTGCTGGGATTAAAGAAGTGGTATACCTGGCTTTGTTTTTTAAACTAAGAAACTGTTCTGTGTTCTTCTGAAAGCAAGAAGAATGTACACAACACCAGATGGACTTTGGAGTCAATCTCTTGGAATTCCCAATCTGTTGGAATCTTGGTTTGCCATTTGCTAGAAATAGAGGTCTGGAGAAACTTCCTCCTGTCTCATTTCCCAGCTGTGAAGTGAAGTGGCTGCTAGGCTTACACAGACCACCTGCTGCTAGGTGCCACACCTGCATCACACTAAGTGTTTTAGAAATGGCAGTCTTTTAGGTACAACAGATGTATGTTCAAATTTTATCCGAGCAAAGGGGAGAAAGGGAGGTAGGTGGGTGGGGTATTATTGAGATTCTAAATTTGGCAGCAGAGTTTGAATGAAGAAGAAACTTTTTAGCCCTAACTATAATGTTTGAAACTAAGAATAATCATTTGCTTTAATAACAACTTAGTTAAAGTACTACTAAACTTACCCTTTATGATATATACACAGGCAAGGCAGTCGTGCTATGGTATCTCCCTGCTGCAATTCTTCAAGGCATATTGCACATTCCCCAGCATCTTTACTCAGCACATCCTCTGTGAAGAAAACAATGAATTCAGTACAAGAAAACTAGCCATCAAACTGAAAAACAAAATCCAAAGTATGACTTCCTCTACCTGTACAACTATACAAAACCCAGCACCTGTAATTGAAGTACTGTTCACACTGAGTGACGCTCATCAGATCTGCTTCTGGACAGTGCCTTGCATTCCCATTGCACTGAGGCGTAAGAGTAAGCCACGACAGACTACCATAGTTCTCAACTTACACAAGGTTCTGATCCCAAAAGATCAACAACTCAGTCATTTGTAATTTGTAGTTAATATTCTTTCTGCTATGTATCAATATTAGTGTAGTGTCCAAGATATTTCAAAAAAGTTTAGTATAGTATGACTGAAAATATATGAATATAAACCACCACTCTAAGGTGTTTTTTTTTTTTTTGGTTTTTCGAGACAGGGTTTCTCTGTGTAGCTTTGCACAGGCTGGCCTCGAACTCACAGAGATCTGCCTGGCTCTGCCTCCCAAGTGCTGGGATTAAAGGCGTGCGCCACCACCGCCCGGCTCTAAGGTTTTTAATTAAAGGAAACAAAGAGAAATCACCACAGGAAACTGCTAAAAAGCTGCTTATCTTAAAAAAAAAAAAAGAAAAAAAGAAAAGAAAAAGAAAGAAAAAAGCAGAAGGCTATCAGTGCTCTTGCTTAAATTCTGAAAGCAACTTTAGAAGCTTGAGAGTTTCAGAGACTGGGTACAGGAGGGAACTCTTCCCAGCCCTTAATGCCACACCAACCCCAGACAGTGATCTGAGTGGCTTCCAGACAGCACTGAGGGTATTTTGAAAACTCTGTGGCGTTTTCAAGGGAAAACCCCTTATTCCAAAGCAGATATGCCTTTAAAGGGTTCTGAAGTTGTAATTTAAATTGTTTCAATGTTATTTTATTTATTTGTTTGTTTATTTTTTGAGACAGAGTCTTACTGTGCAGCCCTGGCTGACCTAGACTCACTATGTACACCAAGCTGGCCTCAAGTTTACAGAGATCCTCCTCCGCCTCTGCCTCCTGAGTGCTAGGAATAAAGGTGTGCAACACTACACCCAGACGAATGTTCAATTTTAACCCTGCTTGAACTAGCACGTTAGCTAGATATCCTTTGTGCCCTTTAAAAATGCTGAAAATCATGCCATCACTGCAGAGTACGAATAAGAGACTTGCAGAGAATAGTGTGGCTCCCTCTCAATGATTCATTCTGAGACAGCAGATGGAGGGAAAATAGTCTATTTTGGTCCACAGAAAAGCCTGGTAATGAACAACTTCCGTGGGGGAAAAAAAAGGTATCAGCTCTCAAAAGCTAATGCATTATGATCAGCAACAACTACTACAGAGATAAAGTATTATACCATTTCCCTCACATTCCTGAACTTCATTGTTTCTCTGTTGACCCTGGAGGGGCCATTATCATCAACCCTTGAGGACTCCAGCCTTTCCCTTTTTCTGTTTTCTCCCTAGAGACTTCTCTTCTGTCTCTCCCTTGACCCTTTATCTCCACTGAAGTCTTAGTGTCTAGCCTATCATTTAAGGACCCAGTTCACAGTCAAAGCACTAAATAGACAGATAGCAGGGAGAGCAAAAGGTTTCATCCCCAGCATTGCAAAATAGAGAGAGAGAGAGAAAAAAAAAAAAAAAACCCACTTCGTAAAGGTCTGTAATTCTAAAAAATACAGTATATTCCTACCACATAGATTGTATCTGCAAAGATAAATCAAACAAATGTATGAATGAATTTTCTAATAAACTTCAAAAATGAAGCACTATTTTTTTATGCAACCCATAACTGATTATGACATTACTGGTTTTATATAACCCCAAATAAGAAAAATATACTCCCATAAGTTATGACACACAATCCTAGTATACAGAAAGCTTAGGTAGGAGGACTGCAAGTTCAAGGCTAGCCTGGGTCATACAGAGACCTTGTCTCAAAAGATAATTAAAAGCAATCAAAACTGCAGCACACATTGATCTTAAAACATAGCAGTCTCTTCTAGCTAACACTGTGTTCAGACTTCAGTAGAAAACAACTCTCAAGTCTCATCACAAAATAAGATGAATGAGATGAGCATGTGAAAAACCAATGCCATTATCATTTTCCTGTAACTCCACATTATAGATTCACCATGAAATAGAAATATGTAGAACTTTAACACGCTCTGAATATATTGAGAGAAAAATAAATGACTTCTAACACTTCTAGGCTAACCTATAACCAAGGCTCATTTCTTTGTTACAATAAGCATTTTTTAAAAAACTTTGCTATGACAATTTTAGTATTTATTAAAGCTAAAATATCTAATTTAAGTTTTTATTTAAAAATAGTATTTTATTCTACATATAAAACTCATACAATAAAGGTAAATCCAACCTATAAAATTGTATTAAGAATATAAGGATTAAAAATAAGAATTATATTTTAAGAATTCTATATAATGGATGCTGTTTGTTTTCAACTTGATGGGGGCAAGTATGAACTCTCAGATACTTTCTACCTTAATTCAGAATGCAGTATCAAAGCCAGTTATTTTGATCTTTAATTCTATTCAGTTCCAGTACAATCACAACTGTACTTTCAGTATCAAGACAAGCACACCCACACACAAACACCCCAGACAGCAGCTTACAGCCAAAGCTCGACCTCTGCTGGAAACAGCTTCCTGTAAAACTCTGTCAGACAATTAAAAGCCAATGTTAACACTCCAGCTACTCAATGCTCAAATGTAATCTGCTAAGTGACTAAATTAGAATATATTCATTCTTAAAGTAAAACCTCATAATCACTGTCAAGCAAAAAATGCTCAGTTTTTCAAAATTTAAAGCCCCCCTATAAAATCTACCCGAAAATATTTTTACTTAAAAAAAAAAAAGAAGTCACCATGCAATGTGAAAACTGAACTGCATTTTTCAAAGTGTCCACCACAGGCCAAACACATCTGGAGCAGTTAAGAGTGAAATTGGTACAGTGCATACCATTCTACCTCTCTGGCTCCTTATTATCTGTGTATTAATTGTGACATACAGATAAGGGAAAGCTAAGATGATGACTTTTAACAAGAGGTGGGTACCAGAATCCCTTAGGGAGGGGGCATTCAATCTCAACACAGAAACAGGTATCTGAGCTTCTCAGAGTTTTACAACATACACCTGCTTCAGAAAGGGGATTGGTCATTAAAGAAGGGAGAGGCAGGAACAGCAGGTCAGAGTAGGAAGTTGAGTTGGGCATTGTGGACATTCCTATAACCACACCCAGAAGACCAAGATGAGAGGAGGGTATTCACCGACAGCTAGGGTACATGGTGAGAATGGGGGTGGGGGGGAGGGTGAGACCACCCACAAAAATTTATGGGTTGGTCATGGTGGCACACTACTCCCAGCAATTGGGAGGCAGAGGTAAGAGTATCTCTCCATGAGTTCAAGGCCATCCTGGTCTACAATAGTGAATTCGAGGACAGCCTAAACTACATAGTGAGATCCTGTCTCAAAAACAAAAACAGAACTAAATTAAAAAGTTGAAAATTGAAAACTTAATACAGATTTCCATTTTGCTAGTAGTTTAATAATCAACCTCTGAAACATCCTATTACTTGTCTCTAGTATCAACATAGGAAATATATTCAAAATATTACAGTTAAGATTTTAAAGAATTATGTAAAATACTTTGTAAGTTATAAAACACTCCATGAAATTTGTTTTATTAATAGGAAAGATTTTATGGAGTTCTTCAAAAAACAAAGCCAGTTAGCATCCTGTTCCTTTTCCTCCTCATGCTGATGCTCCAGTTGTTCAAAGAAATCCATGTTGAAGGAACATCTGACACACTTCTGACCTAGCCATTTTTGCACACCTCCTGGCCAGACTAGAACAAAAGCATGCTGAGTGTGCCCAATACTGCCTATGCTGTGGCTTCATTCCCATGAGGCAATACAAACCTCACTTTATTACATTCTTTTGGACATACTTGTATTTCATGTTAATCTTATACAGTAAAGATGGTTATCTACATTTACACAGGAGTAAAAAGCCTCAAGGAAGTTAAGCAACTTAACAAAAGCACTAAATTAGTTGTGTTCTAGGATCAAAACTTGGATTTAGGTTGGCTAATTAAATAGGTTTTTGCCTACTTCATGAATTTTGCTATAAGGCATAATTTTCCCTCATTTTTAAAAAGTTTCACATTAAAGTAGCATAAATATTGATGCAAATGAACAATTTTAGACAACCTTAAGTGTGTGACATTCTCAAGCTGGAGAGGACCACATATTTAGAGAAAGTATTTTTTTTTTTTTTAAAAAAACTCTGTGTGTGCTAGTGCCCTCAGGTCAGAGGTCTTGGATCCCCCAGAGTCGGAGTCCTATGCAGTTGTGAGTGGCCTGATACAGGTGCTAAGAATTGAACTGGGGTCTTCAGCCCAACCTGAACCACAGAAGTATCTCTCTCCAGCCCCTGGGGAAAGTGTTCTTGAGACTGGTCACACATCATTGTTAGGCGTTAATAACACATTGTAAAGGTGGCAGTACAAAGTCACTCACACTCCACTGCTTCAGCAGCTTAAAAGCAATCCTGGCCAACAATATGTTCTATTATAAAAGCAATAGTATCATGTATGCCATCTACAGTGGCCACATACCGACTGGAATCAGCTCTTGAATTTTCAACTTTACTTGTGGTAAAATATCAAACCTCAAAATATATGTTAATGAACATACATTTAAAAGCTCATTATAGACTTCTGTAAATTGATATTTCACTTACAGCTTCTCAAGCTCTTTAAGTTTGCATTGTCCAAAGAGATTACTTACAATTCAAGCAGCCAACTATGCAAAATTAAATATTTAGCAGGTCCAAGCACATATCCATAGTTATTGTGGCTCAAGACAACATGAAGAAAAGCAGACAGCCAAAAATCTCCAAAAGCCAAAACATAACCAAGGCCGAGTGTGAGGCAGCCAGGATTCCATGCACAAGTCTAAATCACCACAGTCACT